AACAAATAACATATTTCTTTTAAATGTTTTTTAAAGCCATGGTTACTATTGTATTTGTACTCACGTGATTGTACTGTGGAATTTTAAATAAGTATGGATATGGACCACCAAGCACATCCATTATGTAAAATCCATTTGTAGCTTATCAATTCATTTTCTAACAAATGTACATCTTATAGTTAATGCGGCAGGGAGGAATGGAGGGAAAATCTGAGTTCAAACTTGAAATTGGACCAACCATCCATACAGTAAATTTTGTATGAGTATAAATAAATCTCAGATCTCTCTTTTAACTTTTTTTTGTGTGACTTTTGTCTGTGTTTTGAATATTAGATCTACCTTTTTGGTTTGAGGATAAACATTATTAGGGCCATGACTTCTTCTTGTTATACGTCCATATCTCTCGTTAGCATTTTCGAGTCATTATTAAACTTTAGACTTTAGAGTGAGTCAAGTAAAATAATACTAAGACTTTAGATACACAACCAAGTTTTAGTTTGAAATTCAAAACTCGAACGAGTCTGATCATATAATCACGTGTTGTAACTAATTTCAAAGAAACTATGATTGACTCATCATACTATCAAAAGGAACCGAAGAAAATATCGTTGACTTATTATATACTCTTTACATTTTTTTCAAAAAGTTGATCACTGATTTATTAGTGTAAATATAGACATCATGGTTAAAGTATAACTCCTATTTTCAATCATTTTTATTGTTACTGTTTTAACAAAGATTACTACATAACAAGAGCAAACAAAGCTATGACAAGAAACATGAACAAAATTCTAAAAAGCAAGAAGACGAAGCTGGACAAGATCTCTGCAGCATTTAACATACACCACTCCACTCGCAATGTAATTTTATCGTTGTTGGGACCTCAGATTTGGACTGTTTTCATTTTACTTACTTTGGTAATTAAGTTTTGCTACAAAAGTAAAAAATAAAAAACATGTGAACCAAAAAGAAAAAAGAAAAAATGAAAACAAAAAGTTGTATTAATGGCTAGGGATTCTAACTTGTAGCTCGGTTGCTTCTCATTAATTAGTAAACGGTGAATTAATGGCACATATACCATTGTACGTAAAAGGATAATAAATGCGACAAAATAGAATCACAGTTATAGAAAAATAATTTACCCAGATCTCACGGGTTGATCACCCAAATCTATGTTTAAGCTGGCTACTAAATTCAAAAAATTAAGCACTAATTTAATTAACTAAGTTATCATTTATCTCTCCCATATATGTTAATGTTATGGTCAGGTCAACAGGTCAATTTTAATTTCATTCTTCTCTGTACTACATGAAAACATTTTGTAATGTTTCTTTTTTAAAAACACTGTTTTAATGTCGTTAGTAAAGTTATTTTTATTTTTTCTTAATTATATCTAAATGTGTCTTCTTTATCGTTTAAACCACACTAGTGTGTGTGTGTCTCCTTCACTTTCAAAGACAGTCTCTTTCCCCAAAGAGCGGATTCAGGATTCACCATCTCGATCTGTGTCCAAAGCTCCCATCTTTCTTCTTCCCCTGAAGAATTTACTGGAGCTTCTCAGGTCAAATCTCAATCATTTTAACTTAATTTTGTTAATTTTTATCAGAAAGTTTTGATTTTTATGCTCATGCTTGTGCATCCGCGTACCTGCATTTCGTTTTGTGTTTGAGCCGGCGCAGTTTTCAACTTCTTTTTTTTGGATTTCTTTCAAAGTTGAAAGCTTTCCTCAAGTAGAATGTGAAGAGAAAGGAAGAGAATGTGGGTTGATTTTAGGCATAGGGTTTTGTGGGTTCTTTGAGATTTATGTAGATGTTGCAGCTCTGATTCATGGGTTTGCAAAGGTTTCTCACGATCTGTTCGTTTCCCCAAGGAAATGTAGCTGATGCATCTCTTCCGATTTTTGTTTTTCGATTGATTGTATTTATAAAACCCACCAAATAAAGAAAGAGTAGTTAGATTGTCGAATATTGGTTTTCCTAATATTTTTTTCTTCAAATTTCAGAGTGATATTTTCTGTGGATTTTATAAAATTGGGGTCTTTTTCTGCATTACTGTTTGCATTGTTCGATAAGGAAATCAAATAACTTTTGATTCTACCATTGAATCTTACGGCGTTTTTGAAAAAAGTTTGATGCTTTGAACTTTAATGTATCTTCTTCCGTTGATACTCTTGGCTCCGTAAGAATCAGTTGGTTCTAGCATTAAGTCAAATTGGCCATCTTTTTTATATGCATGGTTGCAGATTGCTTTCTGCTCTGAATAGTGATCTCTCTATTGCCTTTACTTATGATCTTTGCGTTCTCTTGATTTCAATTTGACAGATCAGAGGAATATGATGCAATTCTAAAACTCTTTAAGACTTCTTCAAGGCTGTGTTTTCTCGTGGGATTTTAAACATGGGGAAAGAAAATGCTGTGTCTCGGCCATTCACTCGTTCCCTTGCCTCTGCTTTGCGCGTTTCAGAAGTGACTTCTACGACACAGAATCAACAGAGAGTAAACACAAAAAGACCAGCCTTGGAGGATACAAGAGCCACTGGACCGAACAAGAGGAAGAAGCGAGCGGTTCTAGGGGAGCTCACAAATGTTAACTCGAAGAATGCAGCTATACTTGAGGTTGTTAAAACTACATTATGTTTATTTATAGTGTGTGGTTTCCGTAAAGATCTTGTGAAGTAAAACATGCATCTCTGGAACATGGGGTTTTGCCCTTTTCAGGCCAAAAACATCAAGCAGATAAAGAAAGGACGGGGACAGGGATTGGCGAGTACATCCCAGTTGGCATCTTCTGTTACTTCAGAAGTCACAGATCTTCAGTCCAGGACTGATGCAAAAGTAGAAGTTGTATCAAATACAGCAGGAAACCTGTCTGTTTGTAAAGGCACAAATGCAGCTGATAACTGTATTGAGAAATGGAATTTCAGATTGCCTCCAAGACCTCTTGGGAGATCAGCTTCTACAGGTGATCCATTTAACACAAATTTTCATGTGATTAGTTCCTATTGTATATAGGAGTGTTCTTTAATTACTTATAAATCTTCTTTTGCAAATGTTTACAGCTGAGAAAAGTGCTGTTATTGGCAGTTCAACTGTACCGGATATCCCGAAATTCGTAGACATTGATTCAGATGACAAGGATCCTTTACTGTGCAGCCTCTATGCCCCTGAAATCTACTACAATTTGCGTGTTTCAGAGGTAATTCCTAGGCTTTGATAGTCTCTAAAAAAACTTGGTAAGGCAAAGCACTGAAAGTTTGATTCCTTGTGCTTCTGTGTCACTTCTCTTCTTGCAGCTTAAACGCAGACCAGTTCCCGACTTTATGGAGAGAATACAGAAGGATGTCACCCAGTCCATGCGGGGGATTCTGGTTGATTGGCTTGTAGAGGTTAGTGTTTAGTTCCACTTTTGATGCTAACTTTTGAAGCTTATATGCCCTTCTCACAAAAGTCTGATTTCAATCGCAGGTCTCTGAAGAATACACACTTGCATCTGACACTCTCTACCTCACAGTGTATCTCATAGACTGGTTCCTCCATGGAAACTACGTGCAAAGACAGCAACTTCAACTGCTCGGCATCACTTGCATGCTAATTGCCTCGTATATTCCTCTCCAATCTCACTAGTAAATCTCTTCCCAAAAATGAAACTAAACTTATATTCGTTTATACTTGAAACTATACAGGAAGTACGAGGAAATCTGTGCCCCACGCATTGAGGAGTTTTGCTTCATTACGGATAACACCTACACAAGAGATCAGGTATACCAAGATTGCTGTCTGAAACCTCGGAAAAGAAATGTGCAATGTACTAATGTGCTAATGGAATCGTGATGTGCAGGTCCTGGAAATGGAGAACCAAGTACTGAAGCATTTTAGCTTTCAAATATACACTCCCACTCCAAAAACGTTCCTCAGGAGATTTCTCAGAGCAGCGCACGCCTCTCACCTGGTAATGCATTTTGCAATTTGCTCGCCTCTCTCTTCCTAGTACAAAGTTTAGTAGAAAGACTGAGAATTTGTCGGTATTTGATTGCTGATTCGGCAGAGCCCGAGCCTTGAAGTCGAGTTTCTAGCCAGCTATCTAACAGAGTTGACATTAATAGACTATCATTTCTTGAAGTTTCTTCCTTCCGTTGTTGCTGCTTCAGCGGTTTTTCTTGCCAAGTGGACAATGGACCAATCAAACCACCCATGGGTCTGTGATGTCGCTTCTCTTTTCTATATCCAGACAGTTTAGTTCCATAAAATCTTGGATCTTTAACTTCTTTTTATTCTTTCTCCCACAGAATCCAACACTTGAGCATTACACAACGTACAAAGCATCGGATCTGAAAGCATCTGTCCATGCCTTACAAGATCTTCAGCTTAACACCAAAGGCTGCCCTTTAAGCGCTATACGCATGAAGTATAGACAAGAGAAAGTAAGCTTATACAGTTAAAACCACATACTAAAACCTGTTTGGTATAGTTTGAGTTTGGTTTCCTTGAGTCTCATAAGACTTATTTTGGATTTGCAGTTCAAATCTGTGGCGGTTCTCACATCTCCAAAGCTACTTGACACGCTATTCTGAAGGTTTCAACTCCTAACCGATAATAGTTTTGTCACATTGATGGTCCAGTTCGTCTTCATTCATCTGTTACTCTTTGTTCATAAAACAGAATTCCCACAGTCCCACTCATCTAATACCTGATTAGAATTCGGTTTAGCCTAGTTTGATCCGTCGTTTGGTTCTTCCAAACCCGGACACATCGAATCGGTAACTAGAGGTTATTTTTATTGTAACGAGAATGTACATTACATTTTTCTCCGATCTTGAGGCAATGTAAACAGATTCGGAATTTCATATCATTTTTCTGATATGAAGTAGTTTAAGTATTTATATCATTGAACTGTCATGCAGTAGATCCAGTAACAATGAATTATGTAAAAGAACACAACTTCTACAGATCGTCAATTCAAAATTTTCATATTGAGTACTATGTAATGAAACATAGATCTAATATTCAAATGAGATTTTCTTTTGAGTAACTCTAAATACTGTATGTATATTTAGATATCTCTTAGGCTCACTCACATACACATGTGACTATAGATAAAAAAATCATTCATCCTCTGTTACATGATCTCTTCATAATCCTTAACCTCTTGCATGATCCAAGGAACATCCTGCACACAAAATAATATCATAATTTATTAGATATCAAATTGAATAAACCGAAACTAATTGAAGATTAATAGATTATAGAGGTAGGTAACTGGAAACATACTCCCAAGGAACGTCTCCCGCAAGCATCCAATCTCCATCTTTGTCTTCATATATTGGTACACATTCACTTTCCTTCAACGTATCATCTTCATTTTCATATATAAAGATTTTAAAGTTAATATCGATGTCTTTGATCATTAGTTGCCTTTGAATCTTGATTAATAAAGACTAAACCAAAAGTATACTATATAGAAACCAAAACTAACCAAAATTGATAGAACATCCGAACAGAGTTTGTAGAGCGGAAGCGAGATCTTGGTAACATTTGTACATTTCCAAATCAATCTTCCTTAAAAATGCAGCTCCATCTACACTCACTTTCACGTACGAACTTTTGGTCTGTTCGAGACTGTTCTTTCTCCGGTACGAACAAACCGGTGGCCAACCCACAACTTGACTCTTTGTCGCCGGTTCACATTTCATGTTACTCTCCACTTCCGGAGAGGCCCTTTTCTTCCCCGAGATAGACTCACCGGAGACGACGATGATATCTCCGGGAAGACCTAGCCGTAATTCAGTGATTTCAAGTCCAAGATTATCACTCTCATTCGCCATTTTGATGGTTTTGATTGAAAGTATTGGTGTTAATGTGTTTGAACTTTATTCTGTGGCCACTTTATATGTTCTTATGGGAACATAAACGATGGCGTTTGAGACAAGCTTGTTTAGCATTGATTTATCTTGTCGGCCCCATTCGAAGATCTTGTCGAAATCTTTATACCATTTTTTCATTCTTTTGCCGCTTTGTGTTCAAACATATGTCGATGATATGGATCCGTTGATTCGACACAGCAGACGGCTACGATTTTGTTACCGACAAAGTAGGGTTTCTTTCTCAGCCGTTGGATCATAAACACATTACTACTGTATTTAGATTTTAGACATCCCATGTTATGTGTGATTTGTTATGTCTCTATCCCATTCTTTTAATCAACGACATAAAAATAAAACAACATATTCATGGTCGAATATTTTAAAATGCACATTAAAATCTACGTATATTTATGTTTCTCGACAACCGAACACGTGTTACTCAAGGCTAAGACAAGTTCTATATGGCGAACACCCACACGAAGCCTAATTATTTATTTTTCTTTTTTCTACACGTAATTCACAGTGCATATAATTTCATATATCTACGTTTTTGACAAAAAAAAAAACTAATACAAAATTTTCTTCATATATCTAGTTTGTGCTATATTCACACATGCGCCCGATACTTTCATTTATTACATACTTACATTACATCACACATAATTTACACATGTATACCATATTTTTGTTATTTTTTTTACGAAATAGAAACGGAACTGATCAAAATATCAATTACGGGATATATTTCCATTTTCATAGATATTTCCTTATATTTGTATCTCCAATTGTATATTTTTGGAATGTGTACATGCCGATTGATAAGCTAGATTTCCATTAATGTAGATTAGTCAAGTTTCCTTGTACACATTTCTAGGTTTCATGTAGAGAGTTGCATCTAATATATTGTCGGCTGGCTTTAGCCAATGAATAATTCACAACAAGACTTTGTGATAATGGAGAGCGAATCCGACAATGATAATGATGAGCACATTATCGAAATTACAAACGACGACGGTTCTTCATCGGGATCGTCTTTGGACGACAGAAGCTACTCTTCAGTAAGCTCGTCTCTGTCTACGGATGAGGAAACGTCAGATGAAGGTGTAAGTTCATCTACGAGAGACTGTGGTAGTCTTTGGAATACAATGGAATTAGTAGTCACTTTGGTTCAGATTGTTGCTTCATTAGTATTTTTAACTGTGGCAAAAGATGAACATCCACAAGCACTTTTGTTAACATGGGTCATCGGTTACACTTGTGGCTGTATTGCCATTACGCTCGTTCTTCTCCTTTCGTGTGTCCGCAAATACAACCGAATTGGGGTTTACTCAAGGACGAGGTATAATAAAATAACACTTGTTTTCTCTTAAAATTAATGGTTTAATTAGCTAAATCAAACCGAACCGATGTTGGTGGCAGAATGGATGGGGTAATGGATGCTTTGAAGATGGGAATTGAATGTTTATTTGTTGTGTGGTTAGTTTTGGGGATTTTATGGATTTGTTATGGACACTCATCTCCTTCTGATGCTCCTAAGCTCTACAGGTTTGACTCACAATCATGTCACGGTAGAGAATTAGTTAAACCCTAATTGTTCTGTACTAACTTTAGTCTTCTTAATTATGCTTTGGCAGGTTATGTGTAGTCTTCATTGCTTTCAGTTGCATTAGATTTGCATATGCAGTTCTATTATGTGCAGGTATTGTTTTTTCTCATATTGTTCACTAGAGTTTGGGACATTTTTTCTGATATCTATAGTGGATAAGTTGATATCAAATGATGTGGATCGGATTATATAGGGGAAGGTCTAAGAGGCGGATTTGTTTTCCAGAAACCGAGCCATGATGATGTGAGTAACAATTTCATATCATATGTACTCTGTTTTGAAAAGCCAATTTTGATTGTTGTTTTCATGGTGTGATATATGGTGTGCGTGCAGTGTTGTTGCATATGCTTGGGGAAATATGGAGAGGAAGAGGGAATAGCACTAAGGAAACTTGAATGCTCACATGTATTTCATTCGGAGTGTATAGACAAATGGCTGAGAGTCAAATCCTCGTGCCCTCTCTGTCAATCACAGGTTAGGTGATGATGAGATGAGGTTTTTTTATTTTTTTTTGGTATTTTGCTCAAGAGTTGTTGTACACATTCAATAATCAATATAGAAAAGTGGTGGGAAACTGAAAGACACGATCCTTTCTTCTTGATCTGCATTTTTTCAAGGACCTCCTCATGTGTCTTTTTAACTGACTATTTGATAATGATTTAATTGTAAAAAGACTAGTGTTGAGTTGGTAAAAAAAATACTAAAAATTTTATTAACAAAGAAGGAAAGGTATATGGTTTGTGAGTCAACGGGGATTTAAATGAACTTTTCATTTGATCGGCAAGAAATAGGAGAAACCAAAAGTGATCAATGGAGGGCCCTTTGTTGACCGAGAGCAAACACATCATAGACATTACGAACGATGGCAGTTCTTCATCAATTGATGATCAGCAACCGCGGGAGGGTGTTGAATTGCGTGATCCACACACAAATGAAAGTATTTGGAATTCGATAGAGTTTGTTGTGACTTTGGTCCTGATTGTTGCAGCCATAATTGTTCTGATTCAACCAAGAGATAAAGAACATCCACAAACATAATTGTTTATATGGATCATCGGTTATACTTGTGGCTGTATCGCCACTCTCCCTATCCTATGTTGGCGTTTTTGGCTTTATAACCGAAGTGTTGGCCCCGAATCTATAGAAGAAGACTTAAGAGAGAAAAGGTATATATATAAAAATTGTGTATTTTTTTTCTCTTTTTATGCATTAGATTGAGATATAATGGTTTTATTGGTTTGCAGAATCAACAAGAATTTGGACCATTTTATGATGTGTTTCTTCGTGGGTTGGTTTGTGGTTTTTTTATGGATTTTGTCTTCCATAGCATTCAACTCATCAGCTCTAGATGATACTACTACTCAATTCTTCTGGTGCGTATAAAACGAAATTTAAAATCATATCCCTTAAACGTATATATTGACCTTTCTAATTATACTCATTCGGTCATTCCTTTTGTCTTCTTCATTGTCCTTTTGCAGGTTATGTTTGGCTCTCCTTACTTTCAGTTGCATTAGATATGTAATTTTTAATCTAACGTTGGCAATGGTCTGTTGCACCGGTCCTATTATCTTACTCACGCCTGTGGTCATATGTGTTCTCCTTGTTGTGGAAGTCCTCAAAGGTATTGTAGCATACTTTAATTTGTACAATGCATCTGAAATCGAACTAATAAAATCCTTTTTCTTGCTCAAGATCAATCTTTAACTCTTAATCCTAATTCATCTTAACCTAATCCAAATCAATCCTAAACCGGATTTTAGCGGTTTAGTTAAGAGAAATGGAGAAAGACCGGATTTGGCCGTCTACCCCCGGTCACCTTCTATAATCAATATTCGTTGACCATTTCATTGGGGATCCGAATGTACAGTGTGATTCACGTCACTACCAAACGTTTTTTCAAAACAAAACATGTTCCTTTTTATAGTTTCACAAATAATATAGGGTTTTAGCATCAAAGAATTGGAAATGTATATATTTTGAATCTTGTTGGAAAAACTATACAATTTAGAACCAAAATATTTGATATATATTTTATTGTAACAGACCACAATTGATTAATAATTGCTCTTGGTGTAGGTCTTAAAATAACAATTTCCGAAAGTCTACGCTTTGTGTTTCATTGTAAAATAAGCACCACTTGCAAAAAAATTATAACTAATTAGTTCATTGTAAATGACTACAATTGACGATTTGGTCTTAAAATGATAATTTAGCACCAACGAATAGGAAATGTCTATGCTTTGTGTTTTATTGTAGAGAAGAGTATTAGTATTATTTAGCACAAAACAATTTAATAGCTATTTCTTTAAAAAAATATTAAACGAAGACATAAAATGTAGCATATATACATGTGTTAGTATTTATCTGTCACCATCTGAATTCAATGTCGCTATATCTACAAGCAAAAGAAAGTAAACTAGTCTACAACTAACTAACTTTTGAGATAGATCTTGACGTAGACTGGTCTTAAAATACTAATTTAGCACGAGATAATTAGAAAGGGCTATATGTGCTTTGTGTTTCAAAGCGGATATAGATGGACCTTTAATTCCATTGGACTAAATAGAAGAAAGCAAAAAGTTATCAATGGAGGGCCATTTGTTGACCAAGAGTGAGCACAAGGTTGATGACGTTACAATCCATGGCGATTCTTCCTCGAATGATGAGCACATCGTCGACATAACAATCAATGGCAATTCTGATGAGCAAACACCACGTGGGGGTGTTCAATGGAGTGTTCAATCCACAAATCGATGTGTTTGGATTTTGGTCGAGTTTGTTATGACTTTGTTCCAGATTGTTGTAGCCATATTTTTTTGTACTCTGACAAAAGATGAACAGAATCCAGAACTAGAAGAATATTGGTTTATATGGATCATCGGTTATACTTGTGCCTCTATTGCCACTATCCCTCTTCTATGTTGGCGTTTATGGCATTGCTCAGAGACGAGGTATAAACTGTGTGTTCTCTTTCTTTTTTGTAGGCATTAGAAGCTGATTTCAGTAATGGTTTATATTGATTTGCAGAACCAACGAGTGGATGGACTTTTTCGAAAAGATGCTTGCGTATTTCTTCGTGGGTTGGATTGTGATGTTTTTGTGGTATTTTCTTACCGAGTTATCATCATGTCTAGATGATACTACTCAACACTTTTGGTGCGTATCATATCCAACTAAATTTATGTCCCAAAAACAAAATTCACCTCACTAAAACTATTCACCATTGTCCTTTTTCAGGTTATGGATGGCTCTACTTGCTTTCAGTTGCATTCGATATGTGCTCCCTAACCTCGAATTTTCAGTAAATTCCTTCGTGTGGCCGGTGAAATTCTGTTTTAGTCAAATTTGGGAATTCTTTGAAAAAATGATTAGGGGGATCGGTATACTCTGCTGGTGTATCGAGGTCGACGACTAATAAAAATAATGGATCATGTCGATTTCTTCAACAATTGTTGTAATACTCTATGATCATGTTTATTTGGTAGTGGTTGCGATCAACCACATATTTTGTTGTTCCTTTAGTAATCGCTATGTTGTTCAGTTACTAGATATCATAGCGTTTTTGTTGTTCAGTTGACTTTTAGTGTGATTGGTTGATGCAACTCGTCGTTGTCTCATTCATTTTGTCATGATGCGATTGGTCACTGAGCTGTTCATTTTGCTATATATAATCATTTCACTTACGAAATTTTACACTCGACCTTTGTGTGCCAAAAACCTCTGCAAGATATATTTAACAAACCTCAGATTTGATAATTTGCTGCGTTCGATATAACCTCTCCTTTTTTTTTATTGGAGTCTTCTTAATTCTAATTGGCTACCTTCCATGCATAAACCGTCTCTGTCATAAATGACATATAAGTAATTATTAAGTTAAAAAAAAAAAAAAAAAAAAGTAATTATTAAGTTAAACTTTAATAATTACTTCAATTTAAAAGACTGTTGACTTTTATAATTGGTCTTAAAATAAGAATTAGCACAACAGGTCTACGCTTTGTGTTTCAATATAAAAGACAGTAAGTAAGCACGAATTCAGCATCAGTATCGCATAAATCTTAACTTCGCATAAAACATAATTAAATATTGTTGGGAAATTGTATTAAAAAAAAAAACTAAAAAGTGAATTTGTTAATAAAAAACTAAAAAAAAGAAAAAGAGGAAATAGACTAGCCTACAATTGACTTTTAAAATAGATCTTGACGTAGACAGTAGACTGGTCTTACAATAATAATTTAGCACAAAAGATTTAGAGAGGGGCTATATGTGCTTTGTATTTTAACGCAACTTAGATAAAACTTTTAGTTCGATTGGACTAATAAGTAGAAGAAAGCAAAAAGTGATCAATGGAAGTCCCTTTGCTGACCGAGAATGATCACATCGCCGACAACGTTACAATCCATGGTGATTCTTCCTCAAATGATGAGCGCATCCTCGACATACTTACAATGATCAATGACAGTTCTTCATCAGCTGCTAAGCAAATACCATATGAGTGGAGTGAATATTCTATAGATGCATTCTTTTGGAATTTTGTCGAGTTTGTTGTGACTTTGGTCAAGATTGTCGCAGCCATAGTTGTTTTGACTCTGACAAAAGATGAACAACTTCCACAAAAAATATCTGTTATGCTGATCATCAGTTATACTTGTGGCTGTATTGCCACTCTCCCTATTCTTGGTTGGCGTTTCTTGCAGTACGACCGAAGTGTTAGGTCACACCGAAGGTATAAATTGTATTATTCTTTCTCTTTATTTTATAGGATTCAGAAACCGAAATCGATCGATAATGGTTTGGTTGATTTGCAGAGTAAACGAGGTGATGGACAATTTGAAAATGATGCTTGGATATTTCTTCGTGGGTTGGATTACAGTGTTTTTATGGCATCTTCTTAATAACTCGTCATCTCTAGATTATACCACGTCACTCTTCTGGTGCGCATCAAACAAAATTTACAATTATGTCCCAAAAAAGAGAATTTATCTCTATAATCTAGTATATATTTACCATTGTCCTTTTGCAGGTTATGTTTGGCTTTCTTTGCTAACAGTTGCATTCTACATGTGTTTCGTCATTTCTACTGCTCGGTGATGTGTTTTTTGCTTCCTATGCTGTCGCGTTTTACCAAAGTTTTGGACTTCTTGGAAGACATTGATGAGAAGCTAAATTATATTGGCATTGCACTCTTTGTTTGCATTTCAATCTTTTTGTGCATCTGCAAAAGTTGATAAAAATAATGGATCATGTCGTTTTTCTTCTTTCTTTTGCTTAACAATGTTGTAATACTCTATCTATGTTTTAAATAAATCCAAGTGCATGTCATGACTGAATTCCCTCTTCCTGTAATCGCTGGCAAAACTGAAAGACACGATGCCTTCAGCATGCAAGATTTTTTGCAATTTATTTTGACTATTTTAATGGTTTGTGTAATGTTGATGCATCTGTTAGGAGAAATATGGAGAGGAATAACAAGAGAACTTGACGTATTTCATCTACAGTGTATAGAAATGTGGCTGAAAATTAACTCACATGCTCTCTTTGTCAATCACAAGTCAAGGGATGATGATGACTAGAGGTTGAGATGTTGATAGCTTTTTCTTTTGCTAAAGATTTGTTGTTATTGTTCTATACTCAGATTAAATTCTACTACATAGTCCTCTCAACTTGAAATAGCTGTACTAAAGAACAAATTACTAACAGTTGTAGTTCAAAAGACACAATCCTTACTTCTTTTGTGTTATCTATCTTAAACAAAACAAAAACAAAATGATTCAATATAATGGGCATGTTATTACGACTTACAACCCCACCAAAAAAATTAGTTATCGACTTTGTGTACTAAAAACTGTAAGATAAACTAACATTTTAATCTCATTGGCTTTGATTTGCATTTTCAAGAACCATCTTCTTCTGTGTCTTAATTAAATTGTCCTTCATAAATTGTTGCTGTCATAAATTGTGTAAGTTAAATTTAATCATTGTTGACTTAGAATTGGTCAGTGTATATTTGGTCTTAAGATACTAATTTAGCACCAAATTAAGATTCGCGAAGGTCTATGTGTTGTGTTTCATTGTAAAAGACTAAAATTTAATATCAAACGCATCTAACAATAGTTACACTGTGAAGGACTATAATTTATTTATGATTTGGTTTTAATTGTGGAAGAAGACTAGTTTATAATTGACTTTTAGAATAGATCTTGACGTAGATTGGTCTTAAAATAATACTTTAGCACCAAATAATTGGAGAGGGCTATATGTGCGATCTGTATTTTAATGCGATAGGAAAAAAATAGAAGAAATCAGAAGTGATCAATGGAGAGCCCTTTGTTGACCAAAAGTGAGCATTACGTCAACGACGTTACAGTCCATGGTGATCCATCCTCAAATGATGAGCACACAGTCGACATTACAAGCCATGGCGATTCTTCCTCAAATGATGAGCACATAGTCGACATTACAATCAATGGCGATTCTTCATCAGCGGATGAGCAAACTCCACACGAGGCTTTTCAATGGAGTTGTCCATTTACAGATGGAAGTGTCTGGATTTTGTTCGAGTTAGCTGTGACTTTGGTCCAGATTGTTGCAGCCATATTTTTTCTGACTCTGACAAAAGATGAACAACATCCAGAACTAGATCATGTACCTTTGTTTATATGGATCATCTGTTATACTTGTGCCTCTATTGCCACTTTCCCTATTGTATGTTGGCGTTTATGGCATTATATCCAAAACGTTAGCTCAGAGACAAGGTATAAACTGTGTTTCTTTAACTTTTTCAGGCATTAGAGGCTGATATCAATAATGTTTTTTTATTGATTTGCAGCAACGAGGTGATAGACGGTTTGGAAAAGTTTCTTGAATCTTCCTTCGTCTGTTTGATTGTGATGTTTTTATGGTATTTTTTAACCGACTTATCATCACGTGATGATAGTACTACTCAACACTTCTGGTACGCTGTACGCATCGAACTAAATTTACAATTATGTCTAAACAACATAATTTACCTCTTTGAAACTAACCAATAATGTCCTTTTCCAGGTTATGGGTGGCTCTAATTGCTTTCAGTTGCATTCGATATGTGCTTCCTAATCTCATATGTGCCGTAGGGTGCTTCGTGTGGCCTGTGTTGTTCCTTGTTAAACAACTTTGGGAAGGCATAACAACGATGATCAGTGCGTTAATTTCACTCTTTTGGCTCATCATAGCGATCTTTGCGACCATCATTGGAATCTTTGTGTCCATCTGCGAATAAAAATGATGGATTATGTCGTTTTCTTTAACAATTGTTGTAACTCTCTCTTTCTATTTAAGTATTTATTAAATAAATCCAAGTGCCATTAGCATATTACTGAATCCTCTATTCCAAAAATTGCCGGCAAAACTGAAAGACAAACATTGAAGTATCTGTATTTCAACAATTGGTTTATCTTTTGTAAAAGGCCTCTTTGGTCATCTTGAAGAAGCGCTTCATGTTGAGAAAACATTTAAACATGCTGTATGCACAACAATTCTTTTGAGAGTTGAGAGAGCATGTGCGCCCATAACATGTATTCTTAACTTCCCATAACAACTATCGACCAAACACCGACTTATGCAATCAAACAATCCACAAGGCCTGAAGATGGTAAGTAATGTTGATACTTGCTAGAGATGATTCAACTTCAATCAGTTCGTTCCGGTTAAGGATCACTAACAGATAACCGACTATATTGCGAGTGTGAAGACCTAAAATTAATGGTGTTATATATGACTGAAGAAATCAGCCGTAACCCACCTCCTTGAGACCAAAAATTAGTGCAGTTTGAGGTTAATTATGGAGAGGTAGAGGGAGTAACAAGGAAACTTGAAGAGGTGGCCATTAAGCACCAACGTTAGGCATCAAAATGTAGTTAAATAAAGTACTACGCAACATTGCATAATCACGTAATGACAAAATAAATAAAATAATTATGCGGATTTAAAAGTTGCTAGATAATTTATTTTGTTCTTTGCTATTTAAATTCTATAAAATCAAAAAGTAAATAAAAATACACAGAATTGGTATGTTACAACTTACAACTCAACCAAACAATTTAACACTCCACCTTTGTGCGCCAAAACGCTGCATGTATATTTAATAAATGACTATAATTGACTTTTAGACTGGTCTTTTTTTTGTTTGCGTGAAATTAGACTTTTGGTCTTAAGATAATAATTTACCACGAACGAATTAAAGGCAACATGTGCTTTGTATTTTAACGCGGAATCATGATAATTGACTTTGGAATTAGTATTAGTGTCGATTTGGCCTTAAAATAATAATCTAGAACCAACAACTTGGAAATGTCTATGCTTATCATTTAGCATCAAACAATTTAATTACGGTTAAATATTACAATTGACTTCTAGAATAGATCATGATATATAGATTGGTCTTAAAATAAAAATAATTTACCACCAATTAAAGAATTGGAGATGGGTGCTCTGTATTTTAAAGCGGATTTATATGGACTTTTAATTCGATTGGAAAAATAGAAGAAAGCAGAAAGTAGTAATCAATGGAGAGCCCTTTGTTGACCGAGAGTGAGCACAACGTCGACGACGTTACAATCCACGGCGATTCTTCCTCAAATGATGAGCACATCGTCCACGTTACAACCAATGGCGATTCTTCATCAGCTGATGAGAAAACACCGCATGAGGGTGTTCAATGGAGTGAAATATTTACATTTACAACTGTTTGGATTTTGGTCGAGTTTGTTGTGGCTTTGGTCCAGATTGTTGCAGCCACTGTTGTTCTGACTCTGACAAAAGATGAACAACAACAACATCCACAAAAAGTATTTCTTACACTGATCATCGGTTATACCGGTGGCTGTATTGCCGCTCTCCCTATTCTAGGTTTGCGTTTCTGGCATTATTACCCAAGTTTTAGCTCAGAGACAAGGTATAAACTACTATTATTATTTGTTTGTTTTTGTTTTGAAGGCATTAGAAACCGAAATCAATAATGGTTTTATTGATATGCAGAATCTACGAGGTGGTGGACAATTTGAAAAAGATGCTTGAATATTTCTTCGTGGGTTGGGTTGTGGTGCTTTTATGGCAGCTTATCAACAACTCAACATCTCTAGATAATACTACACAACAGTTTTGGTGCGCATCAGAACTAAATTTATAACTATATATGTGCGGAAAACAGATTAGATCTCTATAATATAATAATCCACCATTTTCATTTTGCAGGTTATGTATGGCTTTCCTTGCTATCAGCTGCATTCTACATGTGCTTCCTAATCTCCCCTGCGCGGCGGTTTGTTTTCTATATCCTATGATACTACGTCTTACCCAGTCTATAGACTTCTTTGATGACATTACTGAAAAGATAGATGACATTCACTGGAAAATCGTTGTATGCATTGGAATCTTTTCCTGCATTATCTGTTGCATTTGCAGTTGTTGCAGCAGATTATGTAGATAAAAAGAAGAATGGATCATGTCGTTTTCTTCTTTCTTTTGTTTAACAATGTTGTAATACTCTTATCTATTTATCAAAGAAAGCCAAATGTCATGACTGAATCCTGAAATCGTTGGCCTGAAAGACACGATTGTGAACCGCAATACAAGTATCCATTCCTTTCCTGGTCCTAGAGCTCCATTCTTGCATACGAATCATCAGATTCAAACAGAGAGAGTAGGAAACCATGAGTTCAAGTATAGGAAGCAGCATTACATACGTTTGAACCACGTTATTGGTTCAGTCTTCAATTAAAGTGAAGACTTATATAGGTGTTGGAAATGTAACTAAGTCTTCCAAAAATACGTAAATCCATAACAACAAAAGCAAAACACAAAATCTAAACACATTCCTCCAGCGCTTAACTAAGTCACTTTAGGGTTTAATTAACGTCAAAGGACACAAAACTCATTTATTCCATTACTCTTGTACAATATAAAAAGTCGCAGAAAGAAACACAATAACGAGAAACAGCAAGATAATTAATGAAAAGAATCGGAACATAAGACACTAGTATTTTGGCCCATGCATGCTATGGGCGTTATTAATTTTTTTTTTTTTTTTGGTTGTGCAAAGGGCGTTATCATTTAAAATCATAAAATTACCTTATAAAACTGATTTTTTACTAAAAAAAATCAGAAATTAGAACAACGCGTGTAACAAAAATATTGCATGATTACAACTCTAAAATCTCTTTGTATTGATGCTCTATATTCAAAGAATAATTAGATATAAAGTTTCTGTTGATAGTATTTGAAGAGCCAAATATATAGCTTGTGTTAAACCTAAAGGATAAAAGTTCGAACAAGTGGACGTGCCGGAGTGGTTATCGGGCATGACTAGAAATCATGTGGGCTTTGCCCGCGCAGGTTCGAATCCTGCCGTTCACGTTTTTTATTTTTATTTTTCACTTATCCCAGTTTTGTCCTTTTTTTTTGTTTCCTCGTCAGTGTTTTCAATCCCGCCCATATTTTACCCTAGATTTTTATTAATTGTGATACCGAATCCCGCTTTCCCAATCCATTTTCAATTTTCAAAACTCATCTTCTCTCTCTGTCTCTCTCTACCTCCTTCGATCTCTCTCGGTGTCAGTGAATTTAGCTGAAATCCCATCGCCGGGGAATTTTCCGGTGATTTAGATGGTTGATGTGAGCCGGAGTTCAAGTTTAGATGCGGAAGATCCTCTTCAAGCTTACTCAGGACTTTCCTTGTTTCCTCGCACACTAAAATCCTTGTCGAATCCTCTTCCTCCTCCTCCTCTTCATCAATCACAAGATCTACAGCAGACTCATACTCTCCTTCAATCGATGGTTAACTTTCCCCCTCTTAATCTGCTTAATACTTCGATTTGATGCATTAGCTAGGGTTTGCTTTGCTCAGTGAGTAATTGCGGAGACGATTCGAGTCGGTAATTTTAACGGTTACGAAATCAATTTCAAATCTGGCTGGTTGAATCGTATTCCTGCTCATCCGCTTCTGGGTGTTCCCAAATGACAAAGATTAGGTTTTTGTTTATAGAGAGTCAAATTTATGACCCTTTGCTTCTTCGTCTTCTTTTTCGTCTATATGGATGCTTGATTTTCTGGGTGTCTTCAATTAGGACGAAAAGTCTCTGTGTAAACTGCATATATTTCGCTATTTCGTTTAAAGCTTAAGAAATCTGATATTGGATAACCGTGAGGTTTAGGCATTGTGTCTCTGGCTTCTTATTTTGTGCAGCGCAGACCCAATGTGGCACAACATCTCTATGTTTTCTCAGTATATAAGCTCTAGTAGTAGATAGCCTGCTAATGATTTGTATAGAAAGTGATGTACATTGGCTTTCTCCTATTCTTTTGGGTTAAGGCTTTTCTTAGTTTTAGTTGTGAAGAATTGCACAACGAGATTTTAAAAACAAATTGCAGTTTTTACATTATTCTTTGTCGGTTGTGTATATCAAGTTCAGTATCTCAAACTAAATTATTCGTTGTCAAATTCTTGGCTTCTATCTTACAGCCTTTTGAAGTTCAAAATGAGCATCAGGAGCAGGCAAAAGCTATCTTAGAAGATATGAATGTTGATGTCAAGCTGAACCCTATTCCAAATAAACGAGAACGAAGACCGGGATTAGACCGTAAGCGAAAAAGCTTTTCTCTTAACCTCACGTCAAGGTAAAGATCATAGCCACTGATCCATTGATTTAGTATAACCAATTGTTTTATTTATTACTGTATCTGATTCTTTTACCAAGTTAGTTGAAGCCTATATTAATATTCTTGTTGCAGTCAACCACCTCCAGTTGCACCAAGCTTTGATGGTAGTAAATATCCGAGACCTGAAGATTTCTTTGCTGAGTATGATAAATTTGAACGTGAGTTTTATCTTTTCTGATGTTCATAGCCTTACCACGTTTATTATATATCTGTCATTCATTTATGCTTTCTTTTCCCTGGATTTGAAATAGTTGCCAATCGAGAATGGCAGAAACAGACTGGCTCCAGTGTAATAGATACACAACAGAACCCGCCATCAAGGCGTCCTCGCAGACCAGGAATTCCAGGGTATGTACTATAAGCAACTCTGTTAGAGCATGTTTAAGAGTTGTTCCATTTGCATATTTTGCTTTCTGTTTTCCTTGATAGTTAAAATTTGAAATTCCAGGAGGAAACGGCGTCCATTCGAGCATACTTTTACGGATAGTTATTTCACTGATGCTATCAACCTGGAAGCTTCAGACAAGGAAAACCCCATTGCTTCTGAACAATGTTTAGAGAGGACCACAGCTGCACATGTTACGACTGTGGACAGGGAAGTAGATGGTGAGTGAGCACTTGTTAGATCATTGTCGCTACCATTTTGTTAAATCATGCTACCATCTGATAGTCTAAGACACTTTGTTTTGCAGATTCAACTGTAGACACGGACAAGGACTTAAACAATATTTTGAAAGAGTTGCTTGCTTCCAGTCGAGATGAGCTCGAGGGAGATGCTGCCGTCAAGCTTTTGGAGGATCACTTGCAAATCAAATCCCTTAATGTGGAAAAGTTCTCTATCCCTGAGTTTCAAGATGTTAGAAAAATGAACTTGAAGGCATCTGGAAGTAACCCATCAAACCGAAAGAGTCTGTCAGATATACAGAATATACTGAAAGGAACTCACAGAGTTGCGGGTCGAAAAAATAGCCACTCGCCATCCCCTCAGACTAGAAAACATTTTTCATCACCAAATCCACCAGTGGATCAGTTTTCATTTCCTGACATCCATAATTTGCTTCCAGGAGATCAACAGCCTAGTGAGGTTGATGTTCAACCTCTAGCAAAAGATATAGCTAATACATCCCCGTCTAATGTGGGTACTGTAGACGTTGCTAGCCCTTTCAACAACTCAGTGGAGAAGAGGTCCGATGAAGATGATTCTCATATTCATTCTGGCATCCATAGATCTCATTTACGTCCAGATGGGAATGTAGATATTTGTGTGATGGATAGCATCTCAAACCGAAATTCAGCCATGCTAGAGGTGAATGTAGATATGCGAACAACAGGAAAAGAGGTAGATGTGCCCATGAGTGAAAGTGGAGCAAACAGAAACACTGGCCAAAGAGAAAATGATATTGATATCAATGAAGAAACTGATCATTTAGAAATGCTGGTTAGTTTCTCCTTCACTGTACGGGACTTTTTACTAACATAACTGGACCTCTTGTTGGTTACATCTCTTGTGAATTTGTTTTCATATAGGCGGAATATGCATCTAAAGAGGCTACAAGACCTTTTACTGTAGAGGAGGATAGCATCCCGTATCAGCAAGGTATTATAACCTTTTATACATGCATGTTATAGTGAAATCTCAAAAAGTATACAAGCAAAGTAGCATATGTCCTAATATAACTTGTACATACTTGTCCATTAGATGCTTACTACCATTAACATTTTCAGTCACCTTAAAATTGTGGCTCAAATTTTTTCCAAACGCTGTTATGTTGCCTACAGGTACATCCTCAAACTCTCCAAACAGAGCTCCAGAACAATACAACACAATGGATGGACCCTCTGAACATGCAGAGCACAATCAGGGACTACATGAAGAGGAAAATGTCAACACGGACTCCGCTTCTGGACTTCAAGAAAATGCTCTGGTTAGTTCCTCATCATTGTCTGTTCACCTCTGTAGAGTGTTGATAATTAAGTCAAGGCCAATTCATCTTCATGTTGTCTCAATTGCTAGACTCGGTTCATCTGTTCACTATCTTTATCCTTCGCAAATCTCTAAAGGTACTTTTAATTGCAGTAGTGTGCTGGATCCGTATGTTTTAATCCATGATAAAAATAACACATTTGTTAAGGTGTTCTGTGTTTTTGTGAGGGTGTTAGTTCCGTTTAGGCTACGCTAAGTATGAGCTTGCTTAACAAAATGAATTTGAGAGTTCTTGATTAACTTATTTTCAGCAGGAGGTTCACAACTCTTCACACAAACAAACAAATAAACTAAGAAAGAGAGGATCTTCTGATAGCAATGTGAAAAAGCGAAGTAAGACTGTGCATGGTGAGACTGGAGGGGACCCGCAAATGAAAACATTACCACATGAGAGTGGAGTGAAGAAGCAAACCAAAAGAAAATCCAACGAGAGAGAAGAGAAGAAGCCAAAGAACACGCGTAAAACTCTTACGCGTGAGGGTAAACTATTCTCTCGCAGGAAAAGCCTTGCAGGTACATAAACTTACCAACAAAAACTAAAGTCCATTCTCGTGCTTCAGAGCTCTTTCGATTGAAATACTTAACCTAACAAGTGTTGTATTTTGCCTCTCTCGAAGTTGCTGGTACTAAAATGGAAGGTGGTGTCAGACGAAGTACAAGGATTAAGTCAAGACCACTCGAATACTGGAAAGGTGAAAGATTCTTATACGGACGCATCCATGAGAGTAAGTCACATATCCGTTTTACCACATCGATTTCAATACGGATGATTTTCAATTCATGATTTATTCATTGTTTCCATAGGTTTGACTACTGTTATCGGCATAAAGTATGCATCCCCTGGAGAAGGTAAAAGTGACGTGCGTGCATGTAAGGTGAAATCATTTGTCTCTGATGAGTACAAAGAGCTGGTTGATTTTGCCGCTTCGCATTGAAGAATGATAATCTTAGGAAGGGAGTGATCAAACATCCTCTTGTGATCATAATTCTATTGATAGCATCTTGTGTCCACGACCTTCTCTTGGGTCCAAACTTGTCACTGTCTTTCCTTATAACCGCAACACTTTAAGACTTTGTAAATGTAACGGAAGTTTTCAACTTTCAATTAGTCTCTTCCTTGATAGCTTGTCAACTTGTATTTGTCACTTTACTCTTTGCCTCTTTGATATTTCTTGAGGGCACTTGTTGTTACCCACCTTTCTCTCTTAAATGCTGCCTTGACTATTATTATAATATTTTAATTAAAAGTAAAATATAATTTGTTTAGGGTTGTTACTTTGATTTATATAGAGGATTAACCCTACCAAAATCAAATCGCGGGTCATTATCGATTTTATTTTATATAATGTTCATGACTCTATAATCTTCAACAAAACTCAAGTTGAACAGAAAAAAACAGTTATACAAATGAAAATGCATACTTCATAGGATAATAATAGTTTTTTTTTGTCAAACTGATAACAATAGTTTTTCAGTACTTTTTCTTTTTCTTCATAATAGAACCGAAAAAGGAACGAAATGTCCACTCTAAATTCAGCTGTTTAGACTTTTTTACTTGAACTCAATATTCGCCCCCCTCCTTGATCCACTTTTCTTGGATCCTGTCGTGAAAATGAAAATTGAGTGGCAATCTCGCTCCTGATACATACATGGTCCTAATCTTTTAAAAGAAGTAGCAACTTGATTTTGGTACAAACAATTTACTTTTTAGGTAAAATGCCAATATTGGCAAGATCCACAAATTTGGAAGAGCAAAATTAAATCTGACGATATTACACTTCTTTTGATACGCTTGAATTTTCTTTGCGAATAAAAGTATTGAATTTCGACTTGAGGCTCGACCTTTCTCGATTGTTGACACCCGCTTTTTACGCTTGACTTCAGGACAAGACTTACAGAAACAAAAGAGACATCAAACAAACACTCAAGGCTTTATTATCTGCTTTTAAAAATAAAATTACTAATTTAACTCCACTGTAGTTTTACTGGTAAACAAAGACAAATAATACAGGTCAGCCAACTAGCAAATTGGATAACGATGACATGGATTATCGCTACAAAAGTATACGATCATACAAGTTGATGAAAAAGTCACGGGCTCTTGACAACATTTGATTGGACATCGACCGTACAAAACTAAAATAGAGTCCTCCTTTTGTCACGTAGTACATATATAAATGTTATGTCTTAAGCTGACCAAAGATATACTTGACAAGTTAAAAATAAATCCGATATTATGGATTTGGCAAATGACCTATTCTAAATCTATATACGTAATTCAGTATCATTCGTAGAACCCAGTCAAATTAATTTACTACTCTCTATCGTTCTTACATCATCAATAAAAATATTGTTCTGATTCATTTGGTGTTTCATAACAATTCGATTTTGTTTTGTTTTACTTGTTTATTTTCTTACTTATGTATGATTCCGTTTTTATAATATTTCTGTTTATTGCGTTGACCTAAAGAACCAGCCGACGATGCCTGCCTGCCTTTGAGATGTTGACACCTCATCGTTTGTTATTGTCCAATTATTGTCAGCCAGACGCCGTGTCGTTTTTTCCAACGATTTGCAAGAACGCCGTGCCGTTTTTGCTTTCCTTTTGTTTCACTAAGTGCCTCATCTGACTACTCCAAAGAGTTGCATGCCTGCCTCTGCTGACAAATCAAAATATATGAAAAGGCATTAGTCTGTTGTGAGTCGTGACCTGTGAATCTCAATGGTCTGGTTTAGTGGTGGAAATGTTTTTCAGACCATATACCAAATTTTCAAGATTGGTCTAGAAATGGGAATTTGGAGAGTGGACAATCCGATTTGTTTTCCTAAATTCAATTATTTCATTCAATGCAAATAAAGATATTATTCAAATTACAACACAGTTGCGTAACGACACGATTTGGATTTGGGGATGTTGTGGACCCTAGAACGAGTCCAAGTTGCATGGGACATGCCGTTTCCCAAACTAATAGTATCATTTCATGTTTCCTTATCCCTTTTTTTTCCTATCGTTTTGTATTCGTCCCGTATATCATTTTCTTATCAAAATGCATCAATCATCTACCAATTGTCAAGAAATTAGTGTTGTCAATGTTTTTTTTTTATCTATTGTTGGACCCATGTTTTGGATCCCACAATGGAGAGAGTAAATTAAAGGATGGCATAATAACGCCGCGAGTGTACTTCTCTATAGGAGGTTGAGTTTAAGTTTGATGCATAGAACGTTATGCATGCTATAAAAGTATGGCGAAAAAAAAAAAAATGTATGGCGAAAGAGAGGATCGGTCCGAAAATGAGATTTTCCACATTCGAATAAGAGACTAATGATACATAGTTATCTGAAATCGCCCAGGAAGTGACGTGATACACTTCTCTTTATAGTTATTCATGTCGATTGTAATGTAAAGACATACCGTTTCACTCGCTGGTCTCATCTAGTATATTGCTTCTTTTACATTATTTAACTGTTATAGTTTGATTGGCAACCAGAAAATTATCTTCGTGTGTATATATTTAAGTCAACTTTACAGAAACTAATATTATCTTTTTTTGGAGGGGACAAACTTAGGATTGGATACGTCATTCTTCTTAATATATAGATATGTATATATGATCATAATATTTTGCTATAATTAATTATATTAAACTAACCTTTAATTAATTAATTATATGATCTTCTGGATGATTTAGCTTGTCTCAAATATCATCGAACCCTTTAATACTATTATTTAATGTCGACAAACGATAGAGAAAGGTTACACAAAATTAAAAAATATGCGAAAAAGTAAAATCAAAGGAAAATAAGAGGATGTAAGGAACCCAAATGTTGAACTTTTAATTTTAAGGTTGTTTCTGTTCTTAATTCCCTTTTTCACGTTTTAAATTAAGCTTAATAAATATTGAATTGTTAATGAGTATTGTACTATTATTTAATATTGGTCGTCGTTGTTTGGATAAGTCGGTAACAGGGAAAATAAATAAATAAATGCAACTGAAAAATCACATTTAATAAATCATACTACTGATTAAGAAAGATGTTTAGAATGTTTGAAAATCTTGAAAAATGATTCATGGCTTACATGCTTATAAAATCAACACAATGATATTGTAAAACGGAATTATATATCTAAAACACGTTTGAATTATGCGTACTTAAGAACAATTGGTAAGCTTATTAGAAAAAAATGTAGATTTTGTCATTTATATGAATAGTGTCTACTATATTATTTCACAACTATTTTAAAACAACGAAGTCAGTGAATGTGACAAGTCCTCTTTTAAAGTCGCCTTACCCTCTAGAGTTTCGTGTTAACGTTTTTTGCGTTGGGCGACTTGTATTTTCTGTTGGAGCCAACAATATCAATTTCTTTAATGATCTGGTAAATTTAGAACCAGGTTCATTCACTATTAAGACCTTCTAAAAGTGACCAAAGAGGACTTGGATGATAAAGAACTACGGATGGTGGGACTCGTTTTCTAACCGCAATCTACATAGCAAAGTTTCAAACCATCGAAAGATTGTCTCTAGACGCTTTGGTTTTAACTCCCAATTATTTGAATACTCAACTATTAAATCCGTTAATCATCCGTTTTTATTGATTTTATATGATAATTTGACTATAGCATATAGGACAATTTAGAGTATAATAATCGTTTGGGTGGCTATTGGTTAGCATGTCTTCGTGAACAATACGGCACATGGGATCACATGGACCTTCGAATATGTTAACGATAACATATGCTTGACTTTTTTATATATATTTTAAAAAATGCTGGAATATAGCGTAGATTTAGATCCCTACATACATTATTTATTTATTTTTAATTTTTATATCCACTACTCGGGCTAGTTTAATACTCCCTCTGTCCCATTTTATTAGATGTTTGGACTAAAAGCACAAAGATTAAAAAACAATAAATGTTTTCTCATTTATGAAAATTCAACCAATAAAAGAAAATACTGCATAATTAAAATAATTAAAAATTATTAAACTAACATAAATCATGCATTGAAAGTAGAGAAAATCTTATATAATGGAACAAATGAAAATGCCTTAAACATCTACATATACATTTTTACAGGGGATTTTTGCAAAAAGTCTTTTGGATCCGGGTTTGACCCGGTTTTAGTCTATTCGGATCTTGGATAAGCAATTTTAGGGATATTGTCTTAATTTCAAACTGAGATATTGCCTCTAATTACTTCCAAAACAATTGCATAATTTCGAGATAAGACATTTAATTTCGAGAATTAAAATCCAAGATTTACATTTTAACAAACATTGCCAAAAATTCTCGCCAGATTCTTTCTAAATTCTAATACCCGAGATTTCTTCAATCATTTATTGACTCCCAACATACCATTTCCGATTTTTCTTCTCTACAATATCTGTAAATAAACGATTTTAAGAAACAAAGTTATGACTCTTCTCCATAAAAATCTCTATGGTTTCTTTCTAAAATATATATTCCAAGATTTCGTCTTCCAACTAATTAATCAACACATTCATTTTCGGATTCATCTTTCAACTAATTATACTCACCACCTTCATTTTCGGAGATTTTCTTTCCGCAATATCTCCACAAAATCGATTTAAAGAAACAAAATTATGACTCTTAAAAATTAAAATCTTGGCATATTCCAAATACTAACGAATCCAAAGATTTTATCTTTAATTTGTTGCTACATCGAATATTTTTTGCGTGAAGTGATAGGGATTAGTGACCTAATTTTGACCCTATATATAAATACTCTACACCTAAACGTCAATTAACATCATCAAACACAAATAAGCCACGATTTACAAAAAACCATTAAACACACCTTTTCCTCTTCATATGGCTGCTACTTTTGAGTCTCTGGTGAATATAGATGTCGAAGGGGGAGATTGTTGCAACGGTTTGTCATCGAGCTTCAGGTGATGTTGTGTACAGGTAGGGAATGGTTGTGACGGCGACGGTGAGTTGTTGGTGCAACGGTAGTCGGTGGGTAATAGAGCTTCAGCTTGGTGGATCAGTAAAGGGAACGGTGTGACAGTTGCGGTGAGATATGGGTTGCGACGGTGGTGGATACGACCGGAGGCGGTTGCTTTTGTCGGCTAATGGTGGGAGAGTGGTCGGAGAGAAATAGTTTTAGATCTAGGTTAGGTTGTGTCGTGGCCTCGTGGGTTAGACAAAATATTTGGGTTGTATGTGATGGATTGGTTTGACAAATTATTTAGGCCCAATTTTATTTATATGGGGTTGGGTAGTTTTAGTATAAATAAGTTGTAGTATTAGTACAAAACATTGTAATTGTAATTGTAATTGTACAAAACGTGAAACTTAAAACATTGTAATTGTACAAAACAATAGATTATATATATAAATAATCTATTAAAATTTTACATTTTGATTTTTTTAATATTTTATTTTTCTCTCACTAAGTTTTATGGTTGTCGGTTGTTTGACAAAATAATTATCTGAATAGAAACCACAAAATATGCATACTCAATACATGAAAGGCAAATCATTATTTTTCTATTTAACGTTACTTGCACCATAACATAGTAACCAGAGTTTTCAGAATTTATATTTAAAGATTTAGAGAACATAACATTGAACATTTTATTTTATCCCACAAGATTAAGCTATGCTATTTGTGGTGTTGGACAGTAAATTAATATATGTCTTTTAGTATGAGAAATAATTTTAAATCTCACCAATATAAAATTGTTATCCGGTTTACTCCGGTTATTTATTTTTAAAAATTGAAACTTTGAAGAAGTTTCAAGATATTATAAATATAAAAACTTTATTAAAAGTTAAATATGATAATTGTTTAAATTTTTAAAAAAATTAAAATTTATAAAATGCGTGAATTATTTATAATATTAGAACTTTTATGAAGTTTCAAATATTATAAATATTTAAACTTTATAAAAATTTATAAGAAATTTAAACGTTATAGATATTTAGTTTTATAAAACATTTACAATATTTAAATTCTATAAAAAGTTTATAATATTAATAATATTTGAACTCTACAACAATTAAATATATATTTAAATTCTATTTAAAGCAAACTTTTAAATTGACTCGGATTATATGTTTTTTAAATAAAATATTATTAAAACTGATAAAATGATGTTTAATTTCACGGGACATGTTATATGGTAGGACGGGTTTTGTTAGATATTAATATGGGACTACAATAATACAATTTTAAACACTAAACAAACAAATGATATTAACAAAACAAATACAACTTACTTTAAAATTTTTAGTTATAATAAATCGTGGCTTGGGGGAACCACAGGTCAGTCCCTAAAATGCAAACAACAAAATAAATTCATATTCAAATCTGCTATATAGAGTTGCTTAATGAACCCAAATATTTTGTCTTTAACGTTACTTGCACCATAACATAGTAACCAGAGTTTTCAGAATTTATATTTAAAGATTTAGAGAACATAACATTGAACATTTTATTTTATCCCACAAGATTAAGCTATGCTATTTGTGGTGTTGGACAGTAAATTAATATATGTCTTTTAGTATGAGAAATAATTTTAAATCTCACCAATATAAAATTGTTATCCGGTTTACTCCGGTTATTTATTTTTAAAAATTGAAACTTTGAAGAAGTTTCAAGATATTATAAATATAAAAACTTTATTAAAAGTTAAATATGATAATTGTTTAAATTTTTAAAAAAATTAAAATTTATAAAATGCGTGAATTATTTATAATATTAGAACTTTTATGAAGTTTCAAATATTATAAATATTTAAACTTTATAAAAATTTATAAGAAATTTAAACATTATAGATATTTAGTTTTATAAAACATTTACAATATTTAAATTCTATAAAAAGTTTATAATATTAATAATATTTGAACTCTACAACAATTAAATATATATTTAAATTCTATTTAAAGCAAACTTTTAAATTGACTCGGATTATATGTTTTTTAAATAAAATATTATTAAAACTGATAAAATGATGTTTAATTTCACGGGACATGTTATATGGTAGGACGGGTTTTGTTAGATATTAATATGGGACTACAATAATACAATTTTAAACACTAAACAAACAAATGATATTAACAAAACAAATACAACTTACTTTAAAATTTTTAGTTATAATAAATCGTGGCTTGGGGGAACCACAGGTCAGTCCCTAAAATGCAAACAACAAAATAAATTCATATTCAAATCTGCTATATAGAGTTGCTTAATGAACTGTATGTTTTCGTTTCTATATCTTAAAATTGAAACCTAAAACATACTAAGCGTACACTATATATATATATATATATATATAATTATATAATATATTTAAATCAAACAAAAGAATATGTTATATCTGTAGATAATCTTAATAAATTAAACTTTTAATTTATATTTAACAAAAATATAGGCCCGCGGTGTACCGCGGGTTAACATCTAGTCTTATATATTGGGACAGAGGGAATACTATTTTATATAATTTGTCTCCATTTAAGCTACAACGTGATAGAACAGTTTCATCAACACGTTATTTGAAAGATTCACTACTTATTTGTACATGTACACTTTAATAATTACGGCACACGGTAACGTTAATTCCACGTCGACTACCTTAATATACTACTACTAGTCAGAGAGTTAACTATTCCATTATTCTCAAAGTCACCCGTAAATATTACGGTGAGATGAATTAATTATTTATCTAACGTATAATCCGATAAACGTCATTTTCGTTTCAGTACTCATTTAGTCTACGATATAACCAAAAAAAAGAAATACATGAAAAGTACAATTTTCTAATAAGCAAAATAGATAGTCGAAAATAGATGAATTAACAAGACTTTGATTAAGCTAACTTGATTGCTTACAAAACTGCTCGTAGATATAGAAATCCAATGACCATCACATCATTCAACATGTCCCAATTGGTACAACGTCTCAATCAAATAAACCAAAACCCACACATTAATTCCATTAACCGAACCGAACGGTACCATCACCCGAATTCTGTTTAACTTCTCCTATCAAAGATACGTTTATAGAAGAAATTCATGTATACATCAACAACACAAAAGTCGTAAAAGCAAAAGAATTCAAACAACATTGAACTTTTCCTTTTGATGAAAAATCGTAACCTTTACTTTTCTAGTCTTCTTAACCAATTATTTCGTATTGGAATCAAAATAGGTTAATAAAATAAATACCTATCCTCGAATTAAATATCCACTTCCAGTTTTTTTAGCTTCTAGAAGACTTATCTCTCTATAAAGCAGCCACACTCTTCTCTCTCACCTCATTCATATCTCTCTCAACCTGAACATTTTCTTTTAAAGCATAACATTTTTTTCTAAATCAAGAGCTTCAAATCTTGAAACTTTCTAAAACGATGGAGCTTATTCCTGATCTTCCCGAAACTGTAGCCTACGAGTGTCTCCTACGCGCCTCCTACCAGCAATTTCCTCTTATGGCCTCTGTTTGCAAACTCTGGCAGCGAGAAATCAGACTCTCTGATTTTTTTCGACACCGGAAAGCTTCAGGACATAGTCAAGAGCTTGTTGTCTTGTCCCAAGCTCGGGTCGACCCGGTTAAAGAACTCGGATCGGGTAATAAAACCATCCCCACGCCCGTGTACCGAATCTCGGTTCTTGAACTTGGTACCGGTCTAAGGAGCGAGCTGCCTCCGGTTCCAGGTCAATCCAACGGGTTGCCTCTGTTCTGTAGATTAGCCTCTGTCGGGTCGGATCTTGTTGTATTGGGCGGGCTTGACCCGGTTACATGGCGTACCTCTGATTCGGTCTTCGTTTTCAGCTTCTTGACCTCCACGTGGCGCGTCGGGAATAGCATGCCAGGTGGACCACGTTCCTTCTTCGCCTGCGCTTCGGATTCTCAACGGAACGTCTTCGTGGCGGGAGGACACGACGAAGACAAGAACGCGATGATGTCAGCTCTGATGTACGACGTGGCAGAAGACAAATGGGCTTTTTTGCCGGATATGGGCCGCGAGCGAGACGAATGCACAGCTATTTTCCACGCTGGCAAATTCCACGTCATCGGTGGTTACGCCACGGAGGAACAAGGGCAATTTAGTAAAACCGCTGAATCGTTCGACGTCACCACGTGGCGGTGGAGTTCACAAGCCGACGAGTTTCTCTCCTCGGAGATGATTACATGGCCTCCGATTTGTGCTGCCGGTGAAAACGTAGATTTATATGCTTGTTGTCGCCATGATCTGATGGTGATGAGAGATGACACGTGGCATAAAATTGGGAATCTGCCTGCTGACGTGTGCAATGTGTCTTATGTGGCGGTAAGGAGGTCTGGGAAGCTGGTCGTGATCGGTTCGGCTCGGTACGGTGAACCAATTGTAGGGTATAATTGGGATATGAGCAATTCTCGATGGGTGAAACTGGAAACACATGAGAAATATGAAGGCCACGTTCAAGCTGGTTGCTTCTTGGAGATATAAAAAACTTTAGAAAAGATTCCGAAACTTTTGTACGTCGTTCATGCGAATTGACGCTAAATTTGGTCGGTTGGTTTTTCCAAGTGTGACTGTATAAATATTCTATTGTTATATATAACTTTGTAAGTTTGATTGTGAACATATATTGTCGACTGATTTTATCGTTTCTATCTGATTTTTAAAGTTGTTGGGTGATGTTACTAAAGTTAGCGATTGATTTTATACTTCCATTATTTAATGTAGTCCTTATAAGCCCAACTAAGTACTTACTCTATTGAATTATTGATCCACGAAGCTTACACGGACAAGAGTGTCGATGCGTTATGTTAGATCTGAAAATTTAACATTCGTGTCATTAACAATACGAAGCCCTTCAAAATGATTAAATCGTGTCATCTGTAGTTATGTGCAGATTGAAACGAAATTCCATGAGCATCAACTCAAACTCAAGTAAAACTGTAAAAGTACCACCTAGAGATCAAAAATGTTATCTCTGTTTCAAAATAGACGATGTTAAAGGCTTTTGCACACATGTTAAATTTTTTTTTTTTTTGTATGATCTGAACACAATTCAACAAATAACCAAACAATACAGTATACAGAATACAACTAGTTAGCCGCTTCTCTCTCTTCTCCCACTCTCATCCTTCAGAGAGAGAAAGCGGTTCTGATCTTCTCTCTTCCGGCCTAACCGGATTTCGTTTGTCTATATTTCTTTTGTTCTTCCAATTCAAACTGGGGACTTTCTGATTTTGACTGATCTAAAATCAGATTTGAAATCGGATTGATTCCAGTCTGTTTTGGATTTAAGTTTCCTTCTTAGATTAGCTAAGTTTGGATGTTTTTGTTTACCCATCTTTCTACAAAGCTTGAAGATTAAATCCCGCTTCCTATCAACTTATCTCTTCTCTTATGCTGGAGTAATATCCTCGCCGTCTCTATTAAGAAGTAGACCTCATCTTAGGTCTTAGGCGTGGCTTCCTGCTAGGAGTATGGGCTGAGATGATTCAGATCTGATTTTATTCATATGGATCTCGGAAAGAAACAATCAGATCTATCGCGGAGGAGTGCGTAGAAGGATGTTTTAGAGGAAGTGATTGAAGCCTTCATGTGAAGATGCCAAACTCAAGATCGGCGATGAGCAAGTCACGGTGTTCCGGCGGTTTTCTCATCTGCAACATGAACCCTAGGTCTAGAATCAAACACGTGTCTGTTTTACGTGTCATTATCATATGTATTTGGGTTCATTTCATATTTGGGCTTTAAAAAAGGCTTTTGTATCACTACCCATGTAAGTTGCCCAGTTGGGCTTCTTAATAAATATTTTGGCCGACAAAAAAAAAAAAAGAATACAACTAGTCAAAAATAGTTACGTTTTTATTTTATTTTATTGAAAACATCATATATATATATATATATATATATATATATATTATTAGTGATGTGTCGGGATATGAAAACAAACCCAATATTCACAAAAACTTAAGAGCAACCACAGCGATTAGTTTCTAAGTAAGGTTTCTATGTATTTTTTATTAATAAATTTTGATAGTTTTGTAGTTTAGAGATTTTGTAGAGTTTTTGAAAATTTTATGGTCCATTGGTGGAATCCTTAAGTGGGTTTCTAAAACATGAACTCAAACATAAACATGAAACATAAGACTTAAACATGAACTCAAACATGAAATTGAAAGTGAAACTGAAACAACATGAACTCAAACATGAAACTGAAAGTGAAACTGAAACAACATGAACTCAAACATGAACTCAAACATGAAACTCAAAGTGAAACAACTCAAACTGAAACTGAAAACAACATGAAACTGAAACAACTCAAACTCATAAACTGAAACAACTCATTGATTAACATAGTCATACACTTAAACATAAAACTTAGCCACACCAATGTTTTTAGCCACACCACAGAGCTCAACATCATCAAACCTCTCGTTTGCATGAAAGTATCCAACAATACTTAAACCTTGAGCCACATAATGCTCCTCTATCTACCACAAGAAAACATATACTTGAATCCGTAAGTTTTTCTTTAAAGGATATAGGTACAAACAAAGCTACAGAACAAACACATAAAAATCTGAAATTTCTATGTTAATATAGAAACAACAATAAGACTTCACTGAGAATCAAGCAAACATATAGAAAACTAAGAACAAGCTAATAACAACATATGCAGCTCAAGCTTAGTACACGAACTAAAAATTTCCAGAATTCGTAATTCAATATACATACCAATGCAATCAGATCATAATCTCTTTCAAAATTCAATTTCAAAGCTCATAAAATCAAATCGAAGAAGAAGAGATACGAACCATGATGAGGGTTTCGATTTGGTTCGAAGAATCGATTTGGGGAACAAACTCCAGCTCGATCATCATCCCGTGGTTGAATCTGTCATGATTTCATGAACAAATCACTAGATCGACGTTTGGGAAGCAATTGCCTTTGGAGTCTCCGTCGGCGAACACGAAGAAACGAGAGAGAAGAAGAAAAAAATTAAAACGCGTGTTTTTTTTTTTTTTTTTTTTAGTCAAAAAGTTTACCCAATAAACTGAAGCCACGTATGGGTTTCTATTGGGTCGCGAAAATCCCAATTTTAGGAACGATCCTAAATGGATTGTTCTGTTTTTCTTTCATCTGGGCCCATTTTATCTTAGAAACCCAACATAGAAACCCACTAAAAACCCTTGCTGGACTTGGTCTAAGCCCCATATTCACAAAATACTTAATGACCCAAAAGGGTCTTTTATGGCTTTCGTCCATCTCTCATATTTTTAGGGCTTCCGTCTTCCTCCGTTCCTCGTAAAGTTATTCAGATTTGCTATTGAGGATCTTAACGATGCCAAATTAACGATTTACTATTGAGGATTTAAATAATTTATTTGTAAAAGTGATTGTTAAGAGATAGTATTTTTGAGTTAAGATTTTTGTGTGATTAATGGTAGGCTCTTAACATGTGGTTCTTAGAAAAAAAAATATTAATATAAAAATAAAATTTAATAATTGTTGCAAATTAGAAAAATTAAAACATACATGAGATACAATTTATAACATAAATCACAAATATTTTAAACTTAATTTCTTCTATATTTTGTCCATATATGCTCGACCAAATCATTCTTCAATTGTTGATGCATACCTCGATCACGAACTCGAGTCTATTATCGAAGAAATTAGAAGGCGTATCTATAGAATATGTGAAATCCGCCCAATCAAAACGTGACACGTGACACCTCTTAACCCTCAAAATTAATCTTAGCTAAGGAACGTTCCTTAGCTTATTAAGGTATTAATTATTTAATTTAAATCACTTTAATACCTAAGATTCAGCTAACATCCCCCCTATAATGATGCTCTAACAAAGCTTAATATTTTTTTTTAAAAAAAACCTAAATATTATAAATGAGTTTTGTCGTTATGAATCCCTAAGAAAATATTATCCTAGAGATACGTATAAGATCTTGATGAAACCCTATTGAAATAAGATTAAAATAAATTAAAAATAATAAATTGAGTTTTGTCATGATGAAACCCTAAATGGAGGGTAGAAGATCATGATGGAGAATCGAGAAGTAAATGGGATGAAGAGTGGTTGCAAGCGTAGAATAGAGCTTCCAGAGGAAATATTGGCAGAGATAGTGGCGAGATTACCTTTTAGAAGTGTAACGAGGTTCAAGGCCGTGTGCAAAGGATGGAGATCATTAATAGAATCAACGTACTTCCGTCGTCTATTTGTGTTTGCTCACCGAAACTCTTCCTCGTCGTGGTCACTCATGTGCGGGACATTTGGTTGGTCAGTCCAGGAAATGGCGGGGTTCTACGGATGCAAGAGATATGGTCTTCCCCGTAGGCTAGGTTCATACATCCCGCCTCATGGCTTGGTGGATAAATATAAGATCATAGCCTGCGCGGACGGATTGGTTTTGCTTCGAACCGTAACGAAAGGAGAGACGTTCATCGTGGGTAGCCCGGTGTTACGGCAGTGGGTTCAGCTCCCACCTCACCCTTGGAAAGGGATCAGTTCATCAGTTCAGGTAACAGGTCTAGTCACCCGAGTAGAAGACAGTGTCGTTTTGGAGTATAAGGTGGTTTGTATGGATAATGAACTCGGTTTCGAAGTTGAGTCCCTTATCTTTGAGATATATTCCTCACTGACGGGAACGTGGACTCGCAAAGAAGTTCGTTGTCCTCGTCTCATCGTTTCTTTATCCTATCAAAGATGCTTGAGTTTGAACAAGATGCTTCACTGGCTTGACAACCATTATCGTTCTCGGAGTAATGTAGGAGCCATTGTAGCATATGACTTCTATGCTACTGATGATGAGCAGCAGTGTCGCGTTATCCCTTTTCCGGATCAAAAGGCTTGCTTTAGAAGAGCTTACACTACTTCCGGGGGATTCCTCATCTACATGGACTACTTTAACAAAATCCATCTTCTGTTGAGGCTTTGGAGGCTCGAGGAGTACACAAGTGATTCAGGGAGATGGCAACTAACGCAGGAGATCAATCTAACATCTTTTGGCTGCGATCACCGATACTTTCCGGTGGCAATGCATCCCTCTGAAACCCATATCATTTATATGGGTAATCCGGACAAGGCTTTGGTGTCAATAGACTTGAAGACACACAAGCTTACACTCCACACCAAATCATCAGCTTATAGAGACACAATGGTTTACCACTATTTGCGTACTGTATATTTATCAGTAAATGCAGGTTTTGATCACGACGTTTTCTACACACCCCAATTCACACTCCCAACGTGGATGGGGTCGGTCCCTCGTGCACCTTCAATATAGCCATTCTTTGCTTGTTTCGTTTTCTCTTTGTCCATTTTTTCCATGTGAAAGATTACATTCGTTTAATATAGTACTAGTCCAAGAAATGTATTTCTTTATAACCCTACTTTTTTCTTTTGGGATATGCATGCATTTGAATTTCATTATGCTAGAAGATAATACTTAGACGTAAGTGAGACAATGCATCAGATCTCTACAGTTCTTCCTTTGAAGATAGCTTGCGGATTATTGGAGGATATATTGTTGTGAAGTCTGTTAATTCCTCTCAGTCCATATCCTATAAACCCTCTTTTCT